ACGTTGCTGTCCTGCCTCAGCTCAGACAGGAGCATCTCCAGAGAGCTGTGGAGGTGGCTGAGCATCATCAGGGGTCCTGACCATAGAGCAAAGCCAGGGAGGATGGAGTGTTTGTGAGAAGTCAGCTAGTTCACCCGTGGGAAGGGCCAGCTTCTCCTCTGCATAAGCAGTTGTTCCCCAAGGAACCTGAAGGTCTTAGATGGGTTGGAGAAAGCTCTTGCCTCCAAAAACACCCCCTGCTCTCTCTCCGGGTTCTTTTCCAGGTGCTCAATCCCTTCTACATCTTCCAAGTGTTCAGCATCGTGCTGTGGGTCTGCGATGCCTATTACTACTACGCCGCCTGCATCTTCCTCATCTCCACCATCTCCTTAGGGTTGTCCCTCTACGAGACGAGGAAGGTTGGTGGTGGGCTTGGTTGGGACAAGCAGCTCTGGTGGAATAACCCATTTTCTGATGCTGTTTGACCTCTGTGCTGATGTTGAACTCCTTTTGAACCCCAGGTGGGTGAGGACAACCCACGCTCCAGTGGTGGGGCAGTTTTCTTGGTCCTTCATCTATGGTGCTGAGCCTTCAAGACCTGTGTCACGGGTGCTTTGCTGTGCTTTTTGAGGTGACCTCAGGTGCTAACTGCTCCTTCCCTTGACAGCAAAGCTCCACGCTACAAAACATGGCCAAGATGTCAGTCGGTGTCCGTGTCCGTCGTCCTGGTGGAGGTGAGCATGGTGCCCATGAGGAGTGAAGCCTCCAAGCATGAAACTTTTCAGGATGGTGCCAGGATGATGTGTCTGAGCACAACCACACTTTTTTTCCAGAGGAGATGGTGGTGAGCTCCGTGGACCTTGTGCCAGGTGATTGCATCAGCCTCCCCACCGATGGGACGCTGGTTCCTTGTGACGCCGCGCTGCTGACGGGCGAGTGCATGGTCAACGAGAGCATGTTGACGGGTGAGAGCCCCAGCTTTCACTGGGGACTTTGGGGGAAAGGATGAGCCTTGTATCTCCATGGCCCTACAGAAGCCCCTTCCCATCCAGACTGGTTGGATCCAGACCTCCTCAGGGTGATAAACCTCCCTCCATGATGTTCTTCACCGCAGGGGAGAGCGTGCCGGTGATGAAAACCCCTCTCCCAGCTGGCAGCCAGGCAGCCAGCACCATCTATTCCCCTGAGGAGCACAGACGTCACACGTTGTTCTGTGGGACACAGGTCATCCAAGCCAAGTCCTACATGGGCAGCGACGTTCTGGCCGTGGTGACACGAACAGGTAACGGCGTTGAGGAGAAGACCAGGATTAAGCCGCATCCTTTGGAGTGATGACTTCTCACGTGTTGACCTTCTAACCTTCTCCCACAGGGTTTTGCACAGCCAAAGGGGATCTCATCAGCTCCATCCTCTACCCCAAACCTGTCAGCTTCAAGTTCTACAAGGATGCTGTGAAGTTCATCCTGTTCCTCGCCATCCTGGGTACGTCTGAGCGTGGAGGCATGGCCAGGAGCAACCCAACTCTTCTTAAATGGTTGAAGTCACCTTTCAGCTGCTTTGCTTTGTAACCAAAGCCCATTCTCCCTCCCGCACAGCTTTTATCGGCACGCTCTACAGCATCCTCATCTTGGTTAAAAACCAGGTAGGGTTGCCAGAGCTGATGAATCCCCCACGCTCAGGAACCGTCAGCTGATGCAGGTGGAGATGGGTGAGGGCTGATCAAGATGCCCACTCCTCTTCCTTTTCACCTGCTAGGTCCCTGTAGGGCAAATCATCATCCGTGCCCTTGACCTGGTCACCGTCATTGTGCCTCCAGCTCTCCCAGCTGCCATGACAGTGGGCACCATCTACGCCCAGAACAGGTTGAAGAAACGAGGCATCTTCTGCATCAGCCCTCCCCGTATCAACCTCTGCGGGAAGATCCGCCTGGTTTGCTTCGACAAGGTGAGTCTCCAGCAGCACCATGGGACTGTTGTTTCCAGCTTGAGGAGCTGACCTGGACCTACCACGTTCTCCCTGTAGACAGGAACCCTGACAGAGGAAGGTCTGGATGTCTGGGGGGTGGTTCCACTGGAGAACAACTACTTCATGCCCATCATCCATGAGCCCCGTTGCCTGCCCGCTGGTTCCTTGCTTTATGCCCTGGCCACTTGCCACACCGTCTCACTGCTGCGGGCACAACCCATTGGAGACCCAGTGGACCTCAAGATGGTGGAGTCCACTGGCTGGGTAAGACAGGCAGTAGGCAAAGTGGTGTGTCTATAAAGAGGGAGGTGGCACCCAGCTTGCTCTGCCAGGAAAGGGAGTGTTTAAAAAACCATCTGTGGGATGGATGGGACCTGGGGCTTCACCATCTCAGCATCTGCCTTGGTTTCAGCACCTGGAGATGATGGAGGAGGAGGAAGGTGAACTACTCAACTTCCAGCAGTTTGGGACAAAGGTTTTAGCTGTGATGAAACCTCCACCTGAGGAAGAACAGCCACGAGACAGGGTAGGTTCTGTGGACCAGAGTGGCTCAGGTTCTTCAAGCCACTGGGTCTACACTTCCAAAGGTTTGTTGTCCTTCACAGTCCCTGGAAGCTTCTACCCAACCCTGACACCTGCTCCCTGTCCTCCACAGAAGCACCAGTCACCCGTGGGGATCCTCCGGCGTTTCCCCTTCTCCTCCTCCTTGCAGAGGATGAGCGTCCTGGTGAAGCTGCCTGGTGAAGACTCAACCCATGTCTACATCAAGGGTGCACCAGAGATGGTGGCCAGCCTTTGCAGGAAGGAAACAGGTACGTGCTGGGGGACCGTGGTTTTCTATCGCTCTCCAGCTGAGGAGCAACCAGTTCTGCTGCTCCATCATCTTCCAGCATCCCTGCAGCTCATCCCCATGGGAAATGATCCTGGGTGACACTGTGGGGCACTTCCCAGAGGCTTTGGATTAGCTCCAGCCTCATGGTGGGGAAGACAACAGGAGCCAGAAGAAAGGGAAGAGGGTTGGAGTCTGGATGAAGCCCTTCATCCTTTGGGAGCTCAAGCCTTGGCTCCCATCACCAGGTCTTCATAGCCCAGGCTGGTTCAGGGACATGTTCTGACCTTGTTTTTCTCCTCATGGTTGGCAGTGCCCATGGATTTCTCCCAGATGCTGCGACACTACACCACCGATGGCTTCCGGGTCTTGGGTTTGGCTTGCAAACCCTTGAGCAAGGTGACAACCTTCGAGGAGGCCCAACAGCTCCCGAGGTTGGTACCAACAGCTTTTTTCACCATTTAGATGTTCCAAATATTTCATGGGATGCTTTGCTGCTCTTCAGCCTGCTCCATCCTAGCAGGCTTCAAGGAACCAAACCCTACTGTGTCCCAAAGTGATTGCTGGCTGCCCTCTAGATGGACTTTTAGCTGTTTATATGGATTGAACCACTCTTGTGTTGAGGATGGTGTTCAACAGCTCCTTGTATCCCACCAGAGACTCTGTGGAGAGCAACCTGACCTTCTTGGGGTTCCTTGTCATGAAAAACGTCCTCAAACCAGAGACTACCCCCGTGATTCACCTCCTGAGGAACGCCAACATCCGCCCCATCATGGTGACAGGTGACTCTGCAGAGGGGAACGGGGACAATGGGCCTGAGGAAGAGGTGGGACACGGACAACCCTTCATGTTCTGCATGGGGTGAAGGGTTTCTCCACTCCTGGAGTCTGTTTTTGTGCATCCCTGCTGCTTCTTTGCATTGCTTTGCTGGTGGGCTGAAGGCTGGCAGGGTCTGGAGGGGTCCTGGAGAAAAGGAGGCTGAGGGGAGACCTTCTGGCTCTGTCCAAGTCCCTTGGAGGAGGGTGGAGAGAGGTGGGGGTGGGTCTGTTCAACCAAGGAGCAAGGGATAGGACAAGAGGAAATGGGCTCCAGTTGTGGCCAGGGCAGTTGAGATGGGATGTGAGGAAGAATTTCTTTGCTGAAAGGGTTCTGAGGCATTGGAAGGGGTTGGCCAGGGCAGTGGTGGAGTCCCCATCCCTGGAGGGGTTGAAGAGTCGTGTAGACACAGTGCTGAGGGACATGGGTTAGTGGGGGACTTGTCAGTGTTGGGTTCATGGTTGGACTCGATGAGCTTAAAGGGCTTCTCCAATTGAGATGGTTCTGGGATTCTGTGACCCTGGGACGTAGGAGTCACCTCTGGGTGAAGCTGCTGCCTTTCTTTGGGCTGGGACACAAGATTTTGAAGCTCTCCTCCAAAACATGAGGAAACAAAAGGACCCTCAACATGGTTGTAGTAGCTGGGAGAGGGGGGATGTGACAGGTTTGAGCTGCTCTTCCTGACTTGAAGCCATGTGAGATGCTAACAAACCACACTCTTGGTTACTCAACCCTGTCACCTCTTTCTACCAGGAGACAACATGCTGACGGCCGTCAACGTGGCCAAGAGCTGCCGCATGGTGGAGCCGAAAGAGCAGGTGATCTTCGTCAACGCCTCCCCACCCAGCCAGGACAAACCTGCTGCTCTGAAATTCATCCTCGCCGAGCACTCCCAGGGTGAAGAGCAGCTGGAGGTGAGTCTCCAGGCAACATTTTGAGGGACTTTTTTAAAGCCCAAACTGCCCATCACCTTGCAGGACACTTTTCCCATCATCGTTACCCTGAGAGCCAATTCCAGGTGTGATTCTGTCCCTGATTAAGTGCCTCCTTGAGGAGAAGATAACCTGCTCCTGTTTCTCCTTGGGAGCACATCGAGCTGGAACTGATGCTCCAAATGCTCTCATCGGATGCAGCCCAGCACCATCCTGCTCAGGTCCTGCTCCAGACTTGGTCACACAAACTTTTTATCTAAAATACCATCATTTAGATGGATGAAATTGGTCCCCTGACTCCAAGAAGGACATGGAGGTGCTGGAGCGTGTCCAGAGAAGGGCAACGGAGCTGGGGAAGGGTCTGGAGCACAAGTGTGCTGAGTTCCCTTGTGGCTGAGGGAACTGGGGGTGTTGAGCCTGGAGCAAAGGAGGCTGAGGGGAGACCTTGTGGCTCTGTGCAAGTCCCTTGGAGGAGGGTGGAGAGAGGTGGGAGTGGGTCTGTTCAACCAAGGCCCAAGGGACAGGACAAGAGGAAATGGGCTCCAGTTGTGGCCAGGGCAGTTGAGATGGGATGTGAGGAAGAATTTCTTTGCTGCAAGGGTTCTGAGGCATTGGAAGGGGTTGCCCAGGGCAGTGGTGGAGTCCCCATCCCTGGAGGGATTGAAGAGTCATGTAGACACAGTGCTGAGGGACATGGTTCAGTGGCCATGGTGGTGTTGGGTTGATGATTGGACCTGATGATCTTAGAGGTCTTTTCCAACCTTTATCATTCCACCTGGGTTGAGGATGCTGGTTCAGACCATTGCCCAGGAGCTCAGGAGGGATTTGAGCATCAGTTGAAGCCCCTCTGTAGAGTTGTTTTCCTTGGCAGGGTCTGCACCAGCGGGACAGCTGCTTCCTCCAGCCACAGCTCTGCCACTTCGCCCTCAACGGCAAATCCTTCGCCGTGGTTTGTGAGCACTTCCCCGACCTGCTGCCCAAGGTGAGTCCAACGGTGGGGAATCCTCCAGCAAGGTTGACCTCACCACATTTAGTGCTGCAGCCTCACAGCTCCAAAACAAAATACCCTGAGGTGGTTTTTACTGGTCCAAGATGGTCTCTGCCCCGTTGAGCTGGCAAAGCTCAAAATCATAGAATCCCAGACTGGTTTGGGTTGGGAGGGACCTTAAAGCTCATCCAGTCCCAACCCCCCTGCCAGCAGCAGGGACACCTTCCACTAGACCAGGTTGCTCAAAGCCTCATCCAGCCTGGCCGAGAACACTTCCAGGGAGGAGCAGCCACAGCTTCTCTGGCCAACCTGGGAATCCCAGGCTCCTGGGTGCAGAGGGGTGTGGGGTGCTGTGATACGGACACGGAGCTGGATCTCCTTTGCAGATCCTCATCCAAGCCACTGTGTTCGCCCGCATGTCCCCTGAGCAGAAGACTCAGCTGGTGTGCAGCCTGCAAGAGCTCAAGTAAGTCCTTCCAACCCTGAGGGATGGGGGACAGAGGAGGATGAGGGGGTTAGTCCTCTGCCTGGAGACATCTCTTGTGTGCTGAAGCAGTTGGCAGCTCCAAAATACCATCCTGTCCTCTCCCAGATATGGAGTTATCCTAAATATGGGGGTGCAACCTTGAAGACTCAGGGTTTTGCCCCATCCCATCATGTAATGGTGTCCCGTTGATGACACCAAGCTGGGTGGGAGCATTGATC